AGTAGAGACGCATAGAACATATTATTGAAAAGGAAATTTGGGGGTTGACTTGCCCTTGAAGCATGTTTGGCACAAAAGAACAGCACATTATTTTCTACTCATGCATTGATTCACAGCCAGGGTTCCTGGTCAATTCTTTGAATGCATGAAATGATTTCCTGTGTTGTGGTGAGTTACTTTTTATTATTAATGATCTCCAAAACGCCTCACAGCTTTGATATTATGGAATAGAGAATAAGGTACCAGTATTGTAGCACATAATGTGAAGACTTTAAGTGTTGGTTGACATACATACTGTTTGGGAAGTAACAATGTACAGGTACTTTAAATTCACATGAAAACGGTGCAAACTGAAATGCAGGGAAAAAAATTAAATGATGACCAATAAGTCTTTGATAAGTCCTTTGCTTATAACTATTGCCAAGTTAAGATTCATTGTCAGACTGTCACAGTGTTCTAAAAATTAACTATTGTTTATTTCTTGGGTGGCCCGGTGGTCTTGTGGTTAGCGCGGCAACCTCACAGTGCAGAGGTAGCTGGTTCAATGCCAGCTCCGGCCTCCCTGTGTGGAGTTTGCATGTTCTGCCCAGGCCTGCCTGGGTTTTCTCCGCATACTCCGGTTTCCTCCGACATTCCAAAAACATGCATGGCAAGCTGATTGAACACTCTAAATTGTCCCTAGGTGTGAGTGTGAGCGCGGATGGTTGTTCGTCTGTGTGTGCCCTGCGATTGGCTGGCAACCGGTTCAGGGTGTCCCCTGCCTACTGCCCGAAGACAGCTGGGATGGGCTCCAGCACCCCCACGACCATTGTAAGGATAAAGCGGATCGGAAAATGGATGGATGGATGGATGGATTTTTATTTCTTGTGTCATAATAGATTCCAAATTTCCAAACCTGTGCACCCAGTAAAGTATCCATTCTTGTATCTATAATTGTTGCATAAACAACAACCAAATCACATTCCCAGGCCAGAGCTTCTCATGCAGATAAAAGCTGTTGGAGATTAAATTTAATTAGCTTGATTCAATCAAAGCAAAACAGTAAATCAAAAGTCACAAAACGTAAAAGGAAAAAGAAATTTGAATCATAGCTTCACAGTGGCACCGTTGGACAGTTTTGCTGAAAGACACAAATTTCAGTAGACTTTGTGCTGGCAAGTTGAATAGGATGGTGTTAATTGTTTAATTTGTTTGAAGTATATATTTTAATATCACTTTGGATAAAGAGTTATTTTTAGATGGTGCACATGTCATATAATACAGTATAGTGACCACATATACTCCATAGAGATGCTGTCGAAAAGACCAAAAACGGTCACCCATTTATTCTACCAACGTCATCCATCCCAATAGCGAATAGTGATCTTCGACTAGAGTGCCCTGCACCATGTGGCCTTTCGCTACTGGAGGAAAACATCACTCAGCATTTCTTAATTATTTACAAGTTCAACCCCCAGTGCTGTTCACTTTGTGTACGTCCCCTCTCTCAAGGCATTTCTGAAAGCTTTCTGATTCTCAGATCTTAATCAAACATCTACAGCGGGTATGAAATGAGATCAACTCTCTGCATGGGAAATGGTAACGATGTCTGTCTTTTAGGGGTGCTGCATCAGCAAAATAAAGTATGTTTAGCTCAGACAGGAGTGCTGGTGGACACCATCTGTTAAAAACCATCTGTGAGGGCACCTCCCCTGTCAAATGGACAAGTGTTGCACGGTTGCAGCCCAACAGTCTGTGCAGGCAAGGCCCCAAGTCCCGCATCGTTGGAGCAGAAACAAGAAAGACCATCCAGTTTCCAACAAGCTAAGCTGCTGCTAGTTCTGCTGTGCCCTTTGCACTGTCCAAGAGACATGCAGAGTCATTCGTGCTAGCTTATTTTCATTCTTAAATCAGCACAACATAAACTAAATTACAATGGCACTAGAGCAAAGACCTGTGCCAAGGCCAAGCAACACTAAATCTGCATCAGCACCATATTATAGACTCATCAAAAGCCATTCCTGCAATCAATACTATGAGAATTTTCTGCAAAATTAAGGAATACACTGCTTACTTCAAACAAATACTTGTAATTAAATATCTTTTATGATAATCCACTCCAGAATCGTTCAACAGCAAATACACATGTTTTAAGATATGTTCGACAGCGTCAAGTCCTTAATTTACAACTGTGGCAGTAAATATGGACCCTGTAAATAAGGACCCAGAGGATTTGTTACAGATTTGGTGGCAAAGAAAGTCTTGTTCAAGACTGGAAACAGTGTTGCATCACAGAGACTATATAGCAGGAATCACCAGCCTTTTTGAAACTGAGACCTCTTTCTTGGGTAACGGTTCATGCCGAGGGCTGCGAGTTTGAAACACAGTTCTGAAATCACATATTTGCTCAAATTATTTGGGAGTACATCACCTCATTGTCATTGCGCCCGCCAGTTTGAGTCCACAAATACTGTGGTTTGCTCATGCACTGCAATACTGACCTTTCAACTTCTACGTGTTTTTTAAAAATATTGACATTTCCAAATTTGAACAATTGCAATTGTTATATAAAGAAAAAATAGCTACGAAATAAGTTTGATGCGGATGATTGGTTAGTCGTGCAAGTTTTTGTGAGAATAACAACCAAAAAATTGTGATATACAATATCTCCCTGGTGAGCTATTTCCAGAACAGGCCCTTGAGCTGTTCATGTGTTCCTTGCGGACAGCACGGTGACCCTTGATCTGTAGGGTACCTATATGGGCTTAAGAAAGTCATATGTATACAGTATATATTTCTTATTTTAACTAACCACTTAAATTGAATTCATATTTGAATTGATTAGAGGTATTTTAACTCATTTGCTTTAAATTAAATACTTTCTACATTCAAATACATTTTGGTAGAAGAATTCAGATACAGTGATGCCTCGAGATATAAATTTAAATCATTCCTTGACCACGCTCTTAATGCAAAACACTCATATCTAATGACCACTGCCTATTGCAAAGAAGGAAAATTCCATTAACGATTGCTAATGTTCACTGAAAGCACTATAGCTGCAGACTGACTAGTTCCTATGTGTACGGGTTGTCATTTATGTTTATTTACGTTGTCAAGTTATGTGCTTGATTGTTCTAAGAAGGTTAATTGTCATAATGATTTAAATAACTATACAGTTATTTAAATCATTGCCTGTCGGGTGAGTTATGGTGGTTATGATGGCAACAAAACAGATGATCTCTCTTTCCAAAACCCAAACAAATATGAGGTCAGTTGAAATGGTCTGTGTTGGACCTTGAAGGCTCGAAACGTCCAGGGATGATAAAAGTGAGTTTTGGCCTCTTTTATACTCAGGGATCTCATCAGTTAACGTGATCAATAGGCCTCATTAATGACTTCAGATTCTTCAGTAATGCCCGAGCGTTCCAGGAGATCTAATCGCCATTTTCAGAAAGGCATTGATCCTCACCCACTGCACTGATGAGAGTTTCAAGATGAAGACACTCCCCTGTGCAGACTGACTGCAAATGGCAAAATAAGATTGCTTGGGAAACTAAAAGGAAACCTTAGTACAAAACTGACAGCTCCCATATTATGTTCTAAAGTGTAAAAATACAAGAGATTTTGAGGAGCACACATGCACCTTTCACCAACCGTGACCATGGTAACAGCAGGGTGGGACGGAAGCAAAATGATTTAACACAGTTTGAGTGCATGTGCATCAGTATGTATGATCATGGCAGTACCTGTGCAATGCTAAATTAAGAAACTGTGTCAGTGGATCAGATAGGATGCATCAACCTCAGATATGTCATAGTCATCATCAGGGATGAAGATAAGCCAATGACATTAGAATCTGATAACGGCCGCCTTGATTCTCATCATTCTAAATAATGCAGTTAGCACGCAGAGCACTTACTACACTCCTCCATCTTTTCCATTTTTTCCCTCAACACACAGCTCTATACGTTAACATGATATTCTTTCTTGCATTTGACTTGACTTGCACCATTTTGTCAGTGCTGACAAGCCTGTAAAAATAAAAGAGGTATAAGCATACACATCATTGTCCAAACGTATAATGTACGAGGTTTTTATGTGAGAGGAGGCAGCCGCAGATATTTCTCACACAGAATATTGAGTTTTTTTTCTCCCCTCCCCCATTTAATCCCTGGGTTTCAGGTCTGTAGAAAGAAATGGAGATGATAGAGCCAGCTCCTTCTGCCACCCTCCAGCATCAGTTGAAAAAGGTAGTAACTTGTGGGTGCAAAGTGAGACAACAACACAACAACAAGGTGACTGAAGCACCTGTTCATGGCCCCACTGGAGTCCACATGTGCCCTGTCCACATCATAATTGGAAGGGATTCATTGAGGTTTTCCATCCAGCTACAAAAAAAATCCTGCAGCAACGCCCAAGGAGCGCAACCACTCAATGTCCTACATGGTTTACCATGTCTGTGGTTTTATTCCAGATCTGACTGCAACTGGGAAGCACGGACTGCATGAGGGCGGCCAGCTCGTCATATTCACAATGCATTTTAGAAGGTGTAAAAACAGAACACAGCACATAGTCTAATGTATCTTCAAGACAAATTGACACTCAGCACCGATCTATGCTGCCATGAATGGTAATTTGCTCTTTTAAAAACCTTATGGTTTCCAGAATAATGCAAGACAGTTGTTTCCCCAAACCAAAGAAATCAATCAAAGGATGCACATAATTGCTGCTTCTGTCAGGTTAATTAACAGGAGCGTCATGCATGAACAATGATCTGCACAAATTGCCATTTTTCATGCAGGTGACTCAGTGAGTAAGTGGAGATGGGGCACATCGAATTAATAAGGGGACAATGAAAAACGCTCCAGGTAAAAGATCATTATCGGTCCTCCTCTCTTGTGAATGAAAGGTTGCATCCATTCAAGTCAGTGGCCGGACGCGCGACCCTCGCGGATGTTTCAGTTTGAGAATGCGTAATTTCAATATTTTGTCATGCTTCCGGCGATGCAAAGACATACCTGAGAATCCAGAGCATCCTCTCTTTCTCAGTCAGTTGTCGGAGAATGGATATAGGGATGACTATTATGGCGAAGGAGTCAATCAATACGCATGCTTCTTGTCACACCGGAGCCTGGATTTTAATATTCAGCCCGGAGGAGTAGTCCGTGGCTCGAGGCACAGATCTCTACGGTGTGCGTGGGAACTCGCCTTCTATTCTGCGTGGGGAATGAAAGCCCTTGATTCACGGGGAAGGAAACCCCTGGACGTGAAGTGATAACACTAATGCATAAGTGAACAGTCGCCACCTGATCAAAATTTGTCTGGCAAGACGCACTGGGGCACAATTCTGAGATTTCTCATTTTTCATGAAATATACGCACCGACAAAGTATTTGTCTTAACTCTACGCTTCATTGTATTTGAATATTGTGATATATACAATAAAATTGTTTTTGACGCATCATTTATTAAAAAAATATGTATTCTGAAATAATTGTGTTAAATCTGTTCGACAATGTTCTGTTACGAGTTATATGCAGCACACATTTCTAGGCAGCGATTCGAAAATTCCTCGCTTTTCCTTCAAAACTGAATCGAGGGACTCTACAATGGGGCAATTGCGCCATCTAAAAGACAACTTGTTTATTGCGCTAAAGTGTCAAATACGGCCGTTTTGTTTCTTTACGTGATGAACTGTCGCTAAAAGATGAGTAGAGCAGGCACGTAAAACTTCAACATACTCACTTTGTGACAAATAAACACAATAACTGTGAGGTGTATTTTTAGAGGCATTGTTTTTGTTGCTCATTCTGGATGTACAATGCATGCCACGCCTTCAATTTAAAAAAAATTACACCTCCGAATAAGTGTCACTGCGGAACACTCGCATATAGGCAGTGTTCGATGTACTGTATATGTTTATAAACATCCCAAAGGTGCTACTCAAACAATATTTTCCCGACATTTGGTATAACAAATAGACAGCAATGAGCTCTCTCGTGAACATAGTTCACTCAGTACACATGCGCAGAGTTGAGTTAGTTTGCCCCACAAATAAATTGTTTTCCCCGAGATGTCATGTAAGTTAGACTGACTGAATTAGTGATATTTACTTAGAGTAATTTGACAGGCTGTTATTTCACAAAAAAATGTCTTTCGTGTCTTCAGAGAGTTGTTTTTATGTCGGATTGTGTGTCGCTGGTCACGTGAGGTCCTACGAGTCACGTGATTTCTGAACACTCAAAATGGCTGCCCACTTATCATACGGGAGAGTTAATTTAAACATTTTGAGAGAAGCAGCACGAAAGGAGCTCAGGGAGTTCTTGGACAAGTGTGCTGGAAGCAAGGTAATATTTAACATGTAGGCAAGAACAACAGGAAACTCATCTCTGTCGTAGACAGAGGGACGGAGTCAGGCTCTGACATCGCTGTGTAGCCATCAACAGAGCCTGCTAAACAGTGTTTGGAGCTTTGACTGACATATGAGTTGACGTGACATAGATCGAAAATATTTAAAATTGGCAAACTTTGAAATACAGGTGGTGTTTTTTACACATTGCAGGTCTTGGTACTAATGTGCTTTGTATTTGCTTTTGTTCTGTAGGCCATAGTTTGGGATGAATATCTGACTGGACCTTTTGGACTAATAGCGCAATATTCCCTACTTAAGGTAACTGCACTCTTCATGTGTATTCATATTGCTGACTTAGTAAGGCGTTTTTGTTCACGCTACCAGAGTTGAATGCAAAAATCTGCCTCTTCTGCCTCATATCACAAGTGCATGTTGTTCTTTGGTTCAGGAACATGAGGTGGAAAAAATGTTTACCCTCAAGACCGGCCGGCTCCCCTCGGCCGATGTCAAAAACATCATCTTCTTTGTCCGTCCAAGACTAGAGCTCATGGATATTATTGCTGAGAATGTATTCAAGTAAGTTTTATGTGTCTCGCTTTCAAAACATATCCCAAAACATGCTCCTTTAAAGACAGTCCAGTATTTTAAATCCCTGAAAGTCACCCTCATGCACGACTAACTGCCCATGCCTTGTATTTTGTGTTGTCAGTGAAGATAAGCTGCATTCGACCCGTGACTTTCACATCCTTTTTGTACCCCGGCGGAGCATGTTGTGTGAACAAAGGCTGAAGGAGCAGGGTGTGCTTGGCTCCTTCATCAACATTGATGAGTATATCCTGGACCTGATTCCCTATGATGGTGACCTGCTGTCCATGGAATATGAAAGTGCCTTCAGGGTGTGTTTAATCTTTGCATTTAAAAGAAAAATCAAGCATCCCACTACTCTTTAAATGAAGTGCCTTCTCTCAAGGCAGCTTTATTTATAGCACATTTCATCGTATACAAGGTAACTCGGTGGGCTTCACATGATTACAAGTACAACATTTAAAAACAAAAGAACTAAAGACAAAGTAAAGAAATAAAAGATATCTTACTAAAATTCATCATTTACTAAAAGAAATGCAGTGCAAGAAGAAAAATGTGTACTGCTTTAAAAGACCACAATCATCGGCGGGGGGGGGGGGGGGGGGTTTTTTA